GTTTCGCTGTCGCGACTGGCCTACTTTTTTCGCCTGTTTAGCGAGAGATTTCGCTTGATCGAGTGTAGTTACCAGGATGCCTGGCGACGACAGTGCGAGATTACCTTTTGCTCTATCGGTAAGTGAACTACTATTATTTTTGCCTGGATTCGCTCGCTTGAGTGCTACCAATCGACTAGTAGTAGTAGTATATATTGTCGCTAAACTATATCCAACTAACAACAACTAGAAGAAAGTTCATGAAAGTAAGCCACCGCTGCCTCGTGCAACGGGAAACGTCGACGAAATGCAAAAGAAAAATGATGATGATGGAGCTTCCAGTGAACATTTAAACAATGTATTCCATTCAGCCAGACTTTTCCGGACAAGCCGACGACAACGACGAGAAATCAAGCAACGACCGATCTTCGAAACGCCTATTTCAGGCATGCAGACGCCTGACCAAATAGTATCAGAATAAGTAGCTGCTGCTGCTGCTACTTGTCAACTAGGCGTGAGCACGCAGAAGAACATGCGAGACGAAGCAGAAGGGACGGCGAAAGCGAAAACAAATTTGACTTGACGAACCACGGAAGTAATATGCCAGGCGAAGCATATAACATCCGCTGGCGGGACCAGCCAGCTAAATACGCTCAAAATCCGATAGCAAAGCAGGCTACGGAGTCTCTGCTGCGTGATTCGCCCTCGCCACCTCGACTACGAGCACCGATCAGGCCTCGACTTGCAGCAGCAGCAGCTAGTCATGTTCATCTCGTATTTCGACCACTGGCCGACGGCTTGCGAAATTGGTAAAAACGTTTGTGGATTTCGAGTAGCGGCGGGGGGCAGTAAGGGCAACAGCAACCGTGGGCCAAAAAAAAACAAATCTATGCAAGATCGAGATGCGCGATATGAGATTTGCTTTTTCTGCTATTCCAGGCTGTGCCACCAGCTACCATCGCTCCCGACCATCATCGTCGCTGTATATACTACACATAACGGTAGCGAAGCCAGCGAGTAAGCTAGAGGCTAACAGGCAATTGCCGTCGCTGCTACGACCGCTGCTTTCACTTCTACTGCTGTTGCCGTCGCCGCATCTCGGCTCCCAACAACAGAGTCCACTACCAGCGGTCGACGGCTCAAACCGAAGAAAACCGCTATAGCACGATGAACTGGTCGATACTCTTTTGCATGTGGTCCCTCTGGGGACGAGGAACAGCGGTAGTGAAGCCAGCAGCCGTAGCAGTAGTGGTGGTGATAGCAGACGAATGTGAGCCCAGCCGGTCGCGAGCTCTCGTGGTCGAGAAGACCCACGGTCGCCGGCGGCGCAGCAGCCATGCTCTGGGCGCGTGCTGTCAGGTCAAGCCCGCAGCTATTACATAGCTGCTAGTAGCAAGCATGAATCGTCGACTGTGCCTATGTGAGTTGACCCAGAGGCAAGCTGCCAGCCGGCGGCAGCTACTGACTGGCTGGCCCGGCAAGCGATTCACTGTTCGCGGAGAACGAAAACTTAGATCGGCTAGACGAGTCAAAGAAACGAAACACTTCGATACCCAATTACTTTATACCTCTATACTGCGGAGACCTGGCGCGCTGGTCTTTCGTACCGAATGCGCACTTCGCAACGCAAATTTACACACATCACAGATTCAGACACACACGCTCTTATTTGAGTACGCATATGTGTATATGACTGTATATCTGTGAGGAGATGTGCAAGATGCACATCTTGGGAAGGAAAGGCGCATTGCACATCTAGTCCGTGTCCCGCTTCAAATAGAGAGCAAAGAAGCGTGAGTGAGTCCTCTTGGTGCCGATTGGCGGGCTCCGATAACCAATATGTGGGAGGAGCAGGATTGCTAGTTTGAGGCGGAAGCAAACTGGCTAAAGGCGAGAACGAAAAGGAAAAGAAGACGCCAAACAAAAAGGCGAAAGGAAGGCCTGAAGAAGAAGACGGCGGATACGAGACTGAGAGATGATATCTGGTGGACGCTGTCTTAAGGATCACAAGAATATCACTACGAGATGGTTGTCCTGCCTTACTCGCTAGCAAGAAGAAAGGCATCCAACTAGCAACAGCAACCAGCGGCCAGGCGAAGATAGACAGAAACTAGAGAGGAAAACGACGAAGATGGAGTTATGAAAACCTGATCGCTACTCCTTCATCTCCAACTCATTCCTGCCAATCTGTACGATGGCAGGGGGCAATTATCTATGGTGCAGCTGTGGGAACAGCAGTAGTGGCAGGAATGGCGGAACTCGAAGAGGGCGGAAGTGGCAACGGATCTTACTTCTTTTGCTTCATTGACGCGTTGTCGTCATCACTATTAACATTATCGCCTACATGAACGTGCATTGTGAAATTATGAAACGGCCCTCTCGGGCTGCTTGCGACATTGGTGGATAGGTGACCAGCCAGTTTGCATCACCGGAACAACGCATTCTCTTCGCTAACTCTCCGGCTTATGGTGACCATGAATCTTTTCTAATGGCCACCATAGCAACATGAACATCAGCAACTAGCGCGCAACAGCCACTATCGAGAGGCAGTTATGAAGGCTAACACAAAACAGATAGCCTTTTTTTGGGCATAGAATCCTAGAGCAGTCAGTAGTACTGTAGGGCTGGCCTATACTTTATGTTTTAGGTACCATGCATAAAAATCTTCGAATCTACTGCTTTTCGCTGTTTTACCCGGAAGAGAGCTACTGGGAATAATCAATTCTCTTTATCTTGCCAATGTCCGCAAAACTGCAGTCCCTCTTCGTTTTACTTGAACCATATGATGAGGCAGAGCTATTGAGATATCAAAAACAGGGAGCAAAACTTTGAATTTCTTGTGACGACCACAAATCACAACGTTTTCATAGACTAGGCGAACGGAGTCCCAGACGGCTGTCACATCGACGGTGACACACGTCATTGCTGTCGACGACAACAAGCGGGGCAAGCAAAGCTGGATGCAAAACAATCTCCGGATGCGTTTTAGCGCACAGGCACTACACAGAGCAAAGGCGAGAGGGGTTTCTGTGCAGTGGTTCCGTAACGAAGTTCACCAGTGCATCACTTACTCATGATGCTACTGCTTCGACTACGGCTAGCGCGCCTTTCTCCATAGCTGTCACTCACTCCTTTTTCCGTTGAACTTCCTTGCTATATCCCTTGCGCAAACGTCTTCTCTCCCTATCTTCCTCTGTCTTCGGAGCATCTACTCCTCTAAGATACTCAAAGCGAACTGGCTACTGTTGCTCGTTCATCATCGATGAGCTCGCCTTGAATCTTGCGCATCCGAAACTCCACTTTGAGATTTTCCCGAACTTGTTTGACTCCTGATGGTGAGTATCGCGACAGCAACAACCCTACCGCTCAACGGGGATAAGCAGACCCCAGCCACGCCCGATCAGGCCAGATGAAGTTGGCTGAACATCGCCTCAATTCAATATATTCTGACTCATGCCGTGCGTCCGCCTAAAAGGCAGCGCAAAATCCTGGCCTAGTTCTACCAGTTACTGCTTCCAAATCTTCTAAATGGGCCTTAGATGCAATGTTGAAAAGAGAGCCGTCGTGATAGGTGAACAGGAAGACTTATAAAAATCTATAAGTCCATGCTATATGTTCATGGTAATATATACAGTGAATGCAGTTGCTAAAACAAGGTGACGGATATTTATAAATAATAACTTAGGAGATTATAGAAATAGGTGTGTCTCACTTTAAGTAACTAGACCAAAGCACGTAATGAAAAATACCCTCGCAATAGGTACCTGCTTCTCGTATACGCACGATGAAGTGTGATGAAGCCTAAAGAAACTGACCAGATGAAGCTTGTCCTTCAAGGAAGACGTGCAAAGGCGATACAAGTGCAATGTTACCCAAGTACACCACCCGCCCGATGGCCACCTTCCCAGGACACTCAAGAAGACCAGGTCGCTTTCGTTGCTTTTTCCAGCACTCGTATGATGGGATTCATCTCAGTGGACAACCTGTCTATCAATGAGAACAACGCGATAGGCTAGTACACACTCACCCAGCGCCTTTCGCCTGAACTGCCACTTCGAGGTGGCAGATAGAGTACCCCAGAATAGGCACTTTCCAACTGAAGGAGATACACCATCTTAGTTCTAGCCTTAGCTTACCGCTCTAGCCCGGGAAACATATGGACTATCCACCGTTCTTAGTGTAGTGGATTAAGTATGCCACTTTTAGTTCACTTCAAACAGTGCCTACTATTAGGGCTGTTATATTTATATGGCATAGGACAGGGGACAGGGTGTTCAAAGCAGTTGTCAACCCTTTACTCAAAGTACTCTAATTACCACCAGTCACTGTTCACATCTGAATGTCTTAGTCGTTCCAGGATCAAAGTAAAAAAAAAAACCAAGAATTCTTAAGCTTGACTATAACCCAGGATTTAAATCAAATAGTCCAAGCACCAAGCGTTGGATCGTTTGCTGCTTCAATTAGAAGAGAACAGCTAAATAATGAAATACTGACGTTATATAATAAGCAGTCAGATCGTTGATCTATGCGTGATTCGCGGAGCATGCAAAGTGATTGATGGACGCAATTGTTGGTTAAATTAAGGTGCTTCAGTTACGCTGTGTCGTGATAGAACAGTGCACTGAAAAACATTTCAAAAATTACATGTTAGTGAGCTGGAAATAAAATAGCGGGCACGATCTCGTGGGGGTGAAGCCAAGATGAGGCGCATCGTCTATGGAGGCTTTGCTTGTCATATCCTGCGCTGATGTCCTGACGTGCGGATGATAGGTTGCAGGTGCTGCCATGCTTGCTCAGTTGTCTGTTTGATCTTGGATGAAAAGTCGAATTGCAGCTGCCGGTGTGCGTCTCAGCGACTTCACTCCTACTTTTACGTTTTATAGAACGTTTTCGATTGCTAATTGCTTATGTACTACACAAGTTATATTAAAAGTAATAAGAAGCTCACTAAAGATTTCTGTGTTTGATGAAGAAAGAGAAAACGTGTCAAAGAGACAGCCGGAATGAGGTGAGTAACTCACTTGTATGAGGGTTATAAACTGGCGTTGACGCAGAGGAACCACCGGAGCCTCGTCCCGAAGACTCCAGCTTGGGGTTCTGTGCATTCATTTTCACTGAAATCGTGCGAAAAAACCCGGAACAAACCAACATATGTCGCCGATGAGATCTCGTTATTAAACGCAATCGAATGAGATGAACTAAGAGAGAGTGATCTTTACATCGTCATTCTTCGCCGATCTTAAAACCGCTTCGTTAGTCAAAGCGATAACTTAATAAACTACGACTCAACTTAACTCACTTCCTAGAGCATAATACTAATCGCAATAGTAAGTATACTGTTCGAATTCAGTCAGAGACGGAAATAGATGTATTGTATATGTACGCGACGAGAGAAATAACAAGGTGGACTTTCTATGTAGAGCAACATTTCTGTTCGTACAACACAACGAGACGGAAATCAGCGATCTTCAATATGTTGGCTTAGAAAACTTCTATGAGACATCTTTAAGCAATGCTGTTTCATTTCAATACTGTGTAGGGTGCAGAGTGAACTAGGTAAAAAAAAACTGTTTTGGCGGTGTCGAAGCGGTGCTATATCATGAGCTTTACCTCTCTGCATTCGGTCGCTTGGCGGTCGCTCGCTCCGTACAAATCATTACGTCGCAGCTCTTGGCCACCGTTTTTTTTTTTTAGCAACCATTACCTCAAAAGCAGTTAGCTTTAAACAAATAGTCTGCGTTTGTAACAAAAATAATCGCGCTACAATTTGAAATCCTAAATATGATATGTGTCCAATTTCTAGCCGGAACGCCTCCTCTTACTGTACGTGAATTCTAATTTTGCGAAAAATCAATGACGGAAAATGACGAGCTGTATAAATCTCGTCAAAAAAGTTCATTTCAAGTACATAGAAGATACCCTCTGGCAGGTATGCCCTATATAAAAAAAAAATCAGTAGAATCCAACCGACTTAGCACGCTGGATTCTGCTGAATAAAGTGTTCTCGCTGGAAATAGCTCCATCCGGGCAGAACTGCCTGGGGTGGCTCCGATATGGGAAAAATGGGGAACGAATCGGGCCTTTTATTGGGAATCGATACGTCCGGATGGATTCAGGACAACGAAGCCCGTACTATCTATAAAGTGAGATGACGCTGTTTCCAAAAAATGCGTCTTGTGTCCGATTTTTTGAATAGCTGTCTCTGGTAATAATAATAATAACAGCATGCCGAGGCCACATGAAACATATACTCCTTCAAAGTAAATTTTGTGTTACCCCATATTATTATGTCTAGACCGCAATACGTTCAAAGGTTCTCACATTTTTCAAAGTTCCGTTTTCTAGAAGCACGTAAAATTATAGCTGCAGTTGTCCAAGGGCTGGCTGGCCAGTGATTCATTAATGACCGATGCTTGAAGCTAAATCTTCGCTGGGTTCTTTTGTCCTTTTTGAAAACGCGCCTTAGCTGTTGGCGTGAATATAAACAACTGCTGTCACTATACCACGTTTCTGCGAGCGTATAATACATTTCAAAAAAGCGTCTCGGTTCTTTCGTAGTAACGTAATGACGCAAGAACAATTATCGAACCTAGTTTAGCGATAATGGAAGCTAACAAATAAGCTGGGTTTTTAGGTTAATCTCACTCTTGTTTTCTGGCCTAGATCTAGCAATCGCCGGGCTTGCCGATTCGATCCCGTCGCTTAGATCAAATTAAAAAAAGTTAGTCTTCTGCAAGGGTTTCGACTGAGGAAAAGCCCTCCTTAACCGATCGATCTCTGAGCCGAATCGCGTCCGAGCCCGCACATCAGACAAATGAACATTGTATACATTAGCGAGATCATAAGATAAACCGTTTGATATTTTGTTACGAGAATATACCAATGTGTAAAACTGTTCTGTTGTCAGAGATACTGCGCGGCCTCTGATCGAAGAGCCAACCGGGTTGGCTAGCCAGCGGATCAAAACATAGTCAATCACGCGACTTACTGACACACAGAGTTCGATTGCGAACGGGTGCAATAATCATATTAGCTATGAGTTACTAATGGGAATCTATGGGTCGGACATCGGATCAGCCGCTCCTAGCCGCGCCCCGAAGAAGGGCGGTGCCCAGTTTCCTTCGGAACATAAAGATCTAAAACGACTCGGAAGAAAGCAAATGTAACCCGATTCTCAGTCTGATTGCTGGGTCCTTTTAAATTAGATGAAGCAACAGATCTTTTTGACTGGCCTCATACGTACCCATTTCCTAATTCTTCTTACTTTTTGTCGTCTTTCAATAATCGCCCGACTCTTCATGGCAACAGACCCGAAGAAGCCAGGTCCGTCACCAGTGCCTGCTACTATGCCATCGATAATGGTCATTGTTAACACCTTCCACAAGTGAAGTGAGAGGTCATCGCACAAGTGTACCCCCGCCAGGCACAGTTACTACCACAGCCCGGGCTGATAAAAGAACAGCGACAACGAACAAACGCGAACGAACGCGTCTACCCCTCCCTTTCTTAGCCCTCTCCCTCTGTCTCTGAGGCTTTCGCTTTTCATGTCGGCCAGCCGTCGAACTATGCGCGGCTCCGTCTGTCTTCACAGGTCGCCCAAGTATTATCGAGATTTATAGTGATATGTGTTAGCGCCCGGGTCCACACGGACACTTACGGACACATGCAAACAAATACGGCTTCGTTCACCCCCGTGGGCAGGCAGCCTGAAGTTATACACTCAGAGACCCGCCCGAGAAGGAGCCGAAGCAAAAGTGAAAGGCACCGACCGTTATCCTGTATTCGCAGCGTTGGTCCATCTTTTCCTGCTGGCTCATACACATGGACAGCAAAGGTATAGAACGGCCGTTCGGACCGTGATGACACCCATTTGGAATCAATATGTGGGAGTTGAGGACCCGCCTTCCCACCTACTCAGAATCTAGCCGCAGCGACATCCCCTCATTCTGCCGAGCGTCCTGTGGGACATAGCGCAGTCCACGTGGACAAGAAACTCAGAAGGGCATGGCAGTTGGAAGGCGCTTAAGAGACTGAACACCGAATTGGGTACAGCTCTGTAGGAGAAGACATGATGTAGGACACATGTACACGACGTAAGTGCTGAATCAAGATTTTCAATGAGCCTTTCGGTTCAGTTTGGCGTTTGCAATCACAAGGCCTTTGGCGTAGCTCTGTCTTTGTATATCTCTTTTTTTTTTTTGCTGTGTGCCTGTCTTTTCCCCTTCCCCGTTCTTGATGTTAGACGCTTCCAAAGAAAACAACGACCACTCCCATCTTCGAGCTCCGCATCGTAAGGGGGGCGCTGGTCGAGAAGCGAAAATGATGAACGCGGATAAGAGATAACAAGCAATCGAAATGTAAATAAACAAAATTATAGATTTTTGAGCACTGAACTGGTAGCAAGGGCAATCTACTGCTGTCCCCAATACGCGCGCGTGGCAACTGCAAGAACACAGATCTACTAGAGCAAAAGTATTGGAGAACCGGAGTGGTTTTGACTATATAGATAGATAATAGGCGCATTCGTATTGAGTATCTGACTACTCAGTGTGATGGAGCGGATAAGTTGGAATTGGTGCAAAATCGCAGAAAATTCAATGATTCAAAACAAAATCAATCAAATACTGATTTCGGGCCTTATAGTGACTTAGTTGTAATGCAAGTCTTAAACACAGATTCGACATACGACCCAAGAGACTACGATACATAACGCGCCAATGGGTACGTAGAGACATAGAAGTAATTTTGAATGTCCAGATTGCTCCCTGCCGTCTTGATGTCTAGCCTTATTTTCGCGCAAAAAGGTACGATATGTTAAGAACACAATAAGTTTAAAAAGAAAGCACACTGAAGGACCAGAGGCCGAAAACAAAATACAACTCATTGTTATTTACTTATAGGTCATATAAACATGTTATTTCGGCAACTTTTCCACCCAGTAGCTTGCCTTTGTTATTGTTCCGAACGGGCCTAATAAAGGAATGTATTCTTTCTGGCCTGTGTAGGTACAAACCTTAGTAGCACGTAGGTGCCGTTAAACCAGTCTCACCATTTTGCAATGAACGCTTGTATTCGAGTAAATCAGCATCACTGAATATACCAACGCATAGATCTGGCAAACATATAGCTGGATTACTTTTGGTAGGCTGTAAGGCCAACGGATCTTAGCTATCTGCAACTGAAGGGCTAATTTCATTAGGCAGCGATCGTTTCCGGCGACAGCGTGAGTGGCTTCATAACCGTCGTAGCATAGCTCGCAATCAGGACCAGACCGAATATCATGAACATCGAACGAACGCATCAGCATGATTCCGGATCAGCTGCGCGTCAATAGACGTCTCTCCTAAACAACATTTAAGGGGAATCCGCATTCTAAACGAGAAACACATAAGGTCAACTTTTTGACATGTTGAAATACTTAAAGAAGAAATTCAACGGAAAAACAGTACTGCGTTGGGATGATTTTCAACTTGATTTGTAATACATACTGAATATCTCCTGTGTAAACATTAAGTAACTCGGATAAAGCAAATCAAAAATGGGACTGAAGTAAGCTTAGAGAGAGGGAAGAAGACCTTAAGGTGAGACAAAAGATTTACTGTTAGGAATCTGACAAATTAAGCTTTTGGGCCTCGTTACCCAGTTTTTCTTAACGAGGAGCCCCAAATTAAAATGCAACCTATATGCTACTTTCAATGATCGTATATCTATTTTGTTCCACATAAATCACTCCGATTCTTCACGGCGGATAACGACACAGTTCTCCGTAGAATACATCTTAAAAGGTCGTTGCGTAAGGCATAGCAACGGATACAACAGCATTCATGGGAAACGTTTCAAATCTTTTGTTCACTACACTGAAAGGCAGATCTCCTATGAGATCTGCCTTTAGTGTAGAGGATCAGCGCAAGTGTCATTAAAGTCCACCTCCCATTAAGCCAAGTCAAGCCGTACTCAGCAGGCCACCACAGTCTATACTTCGTACTTATAAGAGCTACTATGTAGCAATCGACGCTGCCGCTTATCGAAGCGATGATACTCGATATGTGGGAACGGGAATCTGTACATGAGTCCCCTCTCGTGAACGACCACATTTCCACAACGGCAACCGATG